AAAAAAAAAAACTTTCTCTCTCTTCAAGTTTTCCCCAAATTCGTAAATCACTAGCCTTCTGCTCTACTTGTTGTTGCCTCCCTTCCGCAGGCGTCGGCCTGCCGTGGCGCCAATTTCACGGGGGACCGACAAGTCCCCATCTCCGATGCCCTACAACTGGCGTGGCATCTCTCCGTTCCTTGTGGCCATGGCCAGGAGGGAACGCAAGCTTTAAGGACGACAGAGGCACAAAATACGGTCAACAGTCAACGCTGTCGGTCAACGGTCAAATTATTATTTAACTAATTAAAAAATGAAAAGATTAAATCTTGACAGACACCTTGTTTTCTTATTTAATAGATAAGGTTGAGTCTAACATTCTCATTTTAAGAATAGTGACACATTTGATTCAATCCCTATATAGTATATATATTAATGTACAATATTTGTTTTTTTTTTATGTATTTTAGGAAGAAAAAGAAAATAAAAAAGAAGTTGAGTAGCGTACGCATAAGTTTAAAAAAAAAACATATTATTGAAAGTTAATTAATTCTAAACATTTTTTTTTTTATTTTTTTATATTGAAATAACTTTTTTTAATAATTAATATGTATTTTTTTATGTTAATTAATACATTTATACATATAACATATATATATACATATTACAAAAAAAAAATAAAAATTATAGGGTCCGTGCTTCTACGGACACCTGTGTAAATCCGCCCATGGCCATGGTGGTGCTTTATCGGGGTCCCGACGTCAGTTTGAAGGGCCTGCAATTGTCGTCGCATCCAATGGTAGGGTGCGGACGGCGGCTGAGTTCGTGGCTGAGTTTTCTCCCCAGGCCTTCCCATCTCTTGGTGCTGGCCAGGTGGTCCGACGGTGGGGGCTTTGGGTTGCAATTGATTGCTCTCGACCGGTTTGGTGTTGGGGAGTCTATTCGGCCGGATCTCGTCGTGAGGTTCGGGGTTCTTCTGGTAGGATGAGGTTCGGCTTGTGTGTCCGGGTTTTCTTCTTTTTTTTTTTCCATTTTTCTGTTTATTTTGGTTTTTGTTTGTGTGTCATTTGTAGTGGTTTGTTGTCAGTATTTTGTCTGTGTTGTGTTTCTTACTTTTGTTTCTGTGTTTTGTTGGATGTGGTTATTCTCCAGTTGTGGAGCGGCTATTCTCCTTTTTAGGGAGCGGGTAGTGTTTAGTTGTATTGTGGGTGAGTTTAGCTTAGTTGTTTGTAAGCACCCCTGAGTAATAGTGTTGTTTTAACTGTTTGGCTAATTCTAGTTGATGTCTTATTTTAATTTTGTCATTCTTTGTTTTTATAAAGTCTATGTTTTTTTTTTTAAAAAAAAAAAGATACACACTTTAGTACTAAATTGATTTTCCCCCCAAAACTTTACTCCAGTCCCACCACACAAGTTTCACTTGAAGCCTTTATAATGCCATCCATATATCAAAACACATATAATGTATATCAAGACAAATTATATCTTATCTTTATGTTGTTATGAGTTTGTACTAATTGCTAATTTAAGTTTGCACCTTTACCTTTAACCCTTATACTAAAATTGTTTCAGACATTTTCTAACATAAAGGTCTAACATAGTGGGTATCATCAAGTGATTCCATCACAAAGTTAACAACCAACTCATTAGGAACAATTGAAGTGGTTGATTAGTCACATGTCCACATTTATTAACTCACATTTAAATAACTAAATCTGCCTAAATCACCAAATATTTTATATAGCCTTTCCCAAGAGGAAATTATTATTAGCATCTCCACATCAATTTCTCATCCAAGCTCAGCTATTCCTAGTTCAAAATTATTTCCTTAATATAGAATTATAGCTATTAAACAGTATGACTCGCTCATGAGCTGAATGAGTCGAGTTCGACTCGTTAAAGTTTGAAAATACAAGTTTTTATGTAATTTTCTGAATTTTACTAAGCTCGTTAAGACTCAAGTTCGACTCGTCAGTATTGATAACGAGCCAACCTTGAATTCATTTAATTAAAGAGTTGTCTCGAACCCGAGCACGACTCGGCTTGTTTATAGCTACATAATATAGAGAAAATAAAACGACAAAAAGAAACGGAAAAAAGTCAACAAGCACCACTGCAGATTATAAGGTTCATTTCGACCAAGCGACATTACCACTCGACCGTATCTTATACAAGAAACGACAAATCGTACATTGCGAAACATATGCATTACACACAACACAACTGAAAGAACAATGCTTTCCTTCAAGAAAAGATGATCGAAAAAGATGCATAACTCACAAACACAAAAACACAAACAAAAAATATGCCAAACATGGCATTTATTGATACATATATCGAGTGCTCATGATCCAAAAAGATGCTAGCCTTTGATGGTGAGCTCCGGTGGGCTCGGCCCTTTGCTAAGTTGGATGGGGCCCACCATATTGGACGCCAAGTCAGTGCTCGGGATATGGTTCTTGTAGGCAGATTCGTGCACGCCAATAGCAGCCCGACCCGAAGGGTCCAAGTTTTTCGACCATGATTTGTCCCACGACACGGCTTTGGCTGTGCTGCAAGCCACGCTGGCGCCACCTGGGACCGTGAGCTTGGCCGAGTTCTGAAATTTAACTAAACAGTTAGCGATTTTTGTTTTCTGAATGTATTTCTCAATTTATATTATAATTTTTATTTTTCTTGAACCTGCGGAAAGAATCGCTCGAATATCATCCTATAATAGTAAGCCTCCTTTGTGTTTGGAGTGTTATGAGGAAAAATGTTTGCGGCGTTTAGCATCATCTTGTCCGTGACCTATAAACAAGTCATAAAAAAACTAGAAAATCTAATCAAATAATAAGCTATCGAAAGTAGGCGCAAATTCGGTTAACATTTCGATTATCGGCCTTAATCTGCACTTTAATATTTTTTTTCGAACAAGGAAAAACGAGGCGTACGTACATGTTCTGCCGCGTGAGCTTTAAGGCCGTCAATCCAACTATAACCGACACCATCACTGAATTGTTCTTTCTGCCTATACAAAATATGCTGCGAAAAAAATTATTAATCGAATCGTGTTAGTGAAAAAAATCATGAAAAATTTTCACCATTCAAGATTATTTTCGAATCTTAAAAATTAATCACCTTTGGGAGATACGGGCGTTCCTCATCATCAAAGGCCCTTCTTAGAATCCACTTCTCGATACGCCCCTCATCGGGTTTTATCTGCAAATTCGAAGGAAAAATGAATGATGTATCAAGATTCAAGATAAAGATTTTTCAAGCTAAATAATTAACCAGAATCGATGAGTTCGCCACAAGATGAATTAAAAGTTTACCATCTTCCACTCGGGATCGATGCTCATAGCTACATTAATGAACTCCTTGTCCAAAAACGGGACTCGGGCTTCGAGACCCCATGCAGAAGTTGCCTTATTTGCCCTCAGGCAATCATATTGGTGAAGTGCTTTTATCTGCAAGGACATGAAAAAATTCAAAATAAACAGAACATTTTTATTATGACCGGACATTTATTTACTTCACCACATCTAAAATTCCATTTATATACCACCTTGCGACAAGTTTCGCGATGAAACTCTTCCTTGTTCGGAGCCTTATGGAAGTACAAGTATCCGCCGAATATCTCATCAGAGCCCTCACCGGAAATTACCATTTTGACCCCAAGCGATTTGATCTTACGCGACATGAGGAACATTGGGGTGCTTGCTCTGATTGTGGTCACATCATACGTCTCGATATGGTAAATCACATCCTCGATCGCATCAATACCGTCCTGCCATAGAACAACGTTTTTTTTTTTTTAAAAAAACGAGCTTTCGTAATATATCCAACGACAAAAAATAACAAAAGTAACCGAAGAATTTTAACCTGGACAGTGAAGTGAAATTCGTGGTGAACGGTGCCCAAATAATCGGCAACTTCTCTTGCAGCTTTCAAATCGGGCGAGCCCTGAACAAGAAACGGGTAAAATTCGGCTTTAGTTAGAACTAAAAATACCTGTAAAGAGTTGAAAATTAAAAAAGAAAAAAGAAAGAAAAACGAGTCGGGGGCAAAACTAACCTCAAGGCCCACGCAGAAAGAATGTAGTTGTGATCCCCATCGTTTGGCGGCTTTCGTGCCCGCCAAGTAACGAGCGGTAACAGATGCAACTAACGATGAATCGAGCCCTCCCGACAAAAGAACTCCGAAGGGTACATCGGTCATAAGCCTCTTCACAACAGCCTGTAATTGAATTTTTCGAACCAAATGTATTTGTTTTCTTTCAACAAACAAATAAAACTAATTGATATAGCTAATAAGCTAGTTGATAGCTAATAAGTGATTTTTTAGCTTAAAACTTATAGTTTACTGACTTATAGGTGAAAAATTACCTTGTATGATAAGTATAAGAGTGTTTATGGTAAAATAAGCTAATAAACCAGCTAAGATAAAAATTTCAAGGGGTAGAAAAGCTACCCAAAAAAAAAAAA